AAGTAGTTAAACATTGCTATTAATCAAAAATAATTTATAGAGTGGACACTAAATCAGTGAAACAAATGCATGCCCTGCTGATTAGACAAAGGTATGATACCTTTTGTTGTTTTTTGGTTCAAAGATTATGTGTGTTTGCTGTTTCTCAGTGTAATTCAAGTAAAATATAAAATATGAGCGAAGACCTTTTTATGGGCATATAAACATATAACATGTTTGAGAGTTTAAATTTGCCCTCCATATTCTGAAAGTGAATCATTTTTAATGCATCCTTGCTAAATATGAGTGTCTTAGTCCCGGGTCTTAGTGCCATTTATAGCGGAGATACAAGTGATTTTATGGTCGGGTGACCACATACAAACGCTTGTAAATTTGGTCGCCTTCATAACGAAAAGAACGCGACCAAATTTACAAGCGTTTTTATGTGGTCACCCAACCGTAAAATCGCTTGTATCTCCGCTTTGTAAAACTCATGAATAATTAATGAGGAAAACACAATAGAAATCACAACCGTGAAGAGCAGGAGTGTTGTAAAATCCCATTYAACACGGCCGCTCATGTTGTAAACATTACATAAATGGCACTAGGACACTGAAATTTGGTAGATAGCTACTTTTTCCATGCGCTTTAAGGATATTTCAACGAATCCGAAAAATTTGAAAAAAAGTATTTTTGTGACGTCACACTTGAGTACTCTGTAACCTTGTAGCTTTAGAGTCCATAAAGGTCTGACAAAAATATTTTATATTGCTTATCAAATTCRAACATAAGCTTAAGCATATTTTGCAAAAAACTTCAGGATAAAATATCATTTGTAAGAGAAAATCGAATCAGGACAAATCTCTTGCTCATATAAAGATGCGGTCACGGCAATGATTTTCCATTGTGTTTACCTTATGATGAATTTGGTAAGCAACATATTTATACATTATCATATATAGAGGATATTACATGGGCGCGCGGAGATACAGATTTTATCTTCGAGTGTTGAAAAGATCTCTCACGAGTGAGCGTAGCGAGATTTTCAACACGAGAAGATAAAATTCATATAATTACATATGAAAGCAACATATGTCGTAAAATATATTTTTTCCAACTTTTACTATATAGAGAAACCTCGAATGTGTTATTTTCACTAGTGAAAATATCAATTTTACGAAATGGAGAAATATAGGTATTTCATAGATAATTATATGATAAATATCAATATTCCCTAATAGCGCAGAGTCTCTCCCTTATTATTTATCTCCCTTATTATTTATATCTTTCTATTTTGATAAAAACAAATTCTATTTCTAATGTAAATAAAGTAAAAGGGAGATACAGGTTTTATGCATGTCGACCATTCTTATCTACCCAAGCCTTTCCATTACATTTGTAAGTTGCATTAAAATTCTTTGTTCTGTAATAAGCATGAAGTATGTTCCATGGATTTTGAGGACAGAAACTATCAAAGCCCATCATTGTGCAAGGCCTCAAAGGGTACATATCCTTCTTGTTGTAAACACGGACATCCCCATCAGTAGTATCCAATAGATGATCTCCTTTTTCATAAAATGGATAAAGGTCAACATGAAGATATTTTCTTATAAGACGAGCCATAGGATCTTGAAATGAACACACATCAACCATTGTAGGAGTAAGCTGAGAAATCAATGAAGTATACCATAAAATACATATATTTTACTTTTAGTTCATTGGTTAGTAGTAGCTACACAAAGAAACTTCTTTAAAAAAATCTTAAGATTTTGTTGAATCTGTCAGCATACTTTTCTATCTATACATGTTTTTATTAAGGACTTTTTTTGTGTTCCATCCATAGATAGGACTAAATTATGAATTTTGATCTGAGTGACTTAATGTTTTATGCACCTACCTTTCCTGAACAGGTATATCTTTTGCGAGATTGAGTTGACACGTTTAGTTCAAACTGGGGTTGCATCACTAAACGTATTTTTCCATCTTGAGGGTCAAAATTTCTTTCAGCTGATAACTTCTTGAGCTGTTGATAGTACTTTATATTCACAAGAATGTCCATGTCAGAGTCATAAGGAATCACATCAGCAGTCCTTAAAGCCCCTAGCAATGTCCCACATGTTAACACGTACTCAATATCTTTTTTGCTAGCAATCCGTGTCCATTCTTGAAAAATCTTGAATAGATTTTGACGCCATTGATTCTTGGCACATCCCTGTTCACCATATACAAAAGACCATGAGTGTGATACAGATAAAGGTACAATCATGGCAGATCTGTTGTAGGATCCTGAAAAAAATATCACACAATAAATCCTTAAAAGTACTAACGCATTAAGCAAAGGACAGTATTTCTATAGTGAACATATACAATAAATACAAYATTGCAGACTTGACAGTGATTGAATTTGCTATAGAGCGGATTTCGTATGAGTGGGACACCGTTACCGCACGGTTACCGCACAGTTACCGGACCTGGCCTGCASAATTTTGGTGAAACAGTGGGGCACTAGAATTTGGTTACAGTACGATTACGGTCACCGTACAGTACCGTCCGTTTCCCACTCATACGAAATCCGCTCTATAAAGTCAGTTTACTATATTGTAAATGGTAGATGGTGGCGATGCTTTGAAGATTCTTGCAATAATCATAGTTAATTATGATAATACGCAAAAACTCGCACAAACAAAGAAGATTCTCGGAGAGAACATCCACTCGTTGAAAGAGCTTGATGATGAAATACTGGTGCTAATGAGTGGAACAACCAGTGATGACGATCTAGACAGGGAACTAGAGATTTTAAACAAAATACGGGTTGAATTACAAGGAGTTTTGATCGAGTTGGAACAGATGAACAAATCTCGAACAACAATGGATCAAGCATTCGAGCCAAACTACCAAGGTTGGAAATTCCGAAGTTCGACGGAAGGCATGAGCATTGGCAGGAGTTCCGGGATGACTTTGAGAGCTCAATTGATCGGAACTATGCAATTTCTAATGTTGACAAATTCAGCTATTTAAGAGGTTTACTTGACGACAACGCGAGGTCAGCGATCGCAKGGTTTGCCTTCACTTCGGCAAATTACAGTGAAGCAGTGGAGGTTCTGAAACAACGTTTCGGTAAAAAGAATGCAATCCAACGTTCACACGTGAATGGATTGATGTCTCTCACAGCGCTTCAAAGTGAACGGGATACGGTCAAATTAAGGAMAATGTACGACGCCATGAAAGCACATTATCGTGGGTTAAGGGMTTTGGGAGCGCCACCAGAAAGCTACCAGAGCATCGTAATTCCATTGCTGGTGGAGAAACTGCCTCTGAGKTTACGGCTGACGGTGACAGGAGGGAAGGATTATGGAGAAAATGGAGAAAATGCTCTCAGCATTTCAAAAGGAGCTTTTTTTAAGAGAAGAACATAGTTCAAATACCTCGAATAGTCAAAGCCTGAACAACCCCCCRAAGTCAAGCCAGTGGCCAARGAGGAAATCCAGTCACACTTCAGCGAGTGCAYGAGTTGTGAAGTCAAATCAAAGTGCGTTTWGCCTCGGAGATCACGATCACGAAGACTGTAAGAAGGTAACAAAGGTGAAAGAACGAAGGAACATTGAATAGATTGATCAGGGTCACTGCCTGGGTGAAACAGTTCATAGCAAATCTGAAGTCGTCAAGGCAATCCCGAAGGTTGGGAATGCTGACTAGAGATGAGTTCATTAGTGCAGAAACCACGTGATACAAGGCCCTTCAAGAAGGGATGAAAGAGGAAGCTGCATTTGAAGATCTCAAGGGTAAGTTTGGTGTGATTGGAGAGGGAGGCGTGCAAAGGGAACACTCGAGAATGTCGATTTGGAAACTGAAGCCTTAAAGCCAGTCCTGCTACCAAGACGACATAGATTAGTGTGTTAATTGTGCTAAACTGTCATCACAGAGTACACCACAGTGGTATGAGGGCAACACTTGTCGAACTCAGATCACGGTTTTGGATTCYGAGAGCAAGACAGTTTGTGAGAAACCTGCTTGGTAAGTGTGTAGTTTGTAAGAAACTCGAAGGCAAGCCTTACCTATGCGGGTCGCAGGCAAGCTTACCGGCGTTCAGAGTCAGCAGGACCAACCGTTCTCTAAGGTAGGTGTAGACTTTGCAGGGCCGCTGTATCACAAGGCGGAAAACGGGGTCATGGTTAAATGCTATGTAGTTCTTTACTCTTGTTGCGTAACAAGAGCCTTACATCTAGATCCGATGAAAGACTTGAAGACAGAAACCTTTCGGGGAAGCCTCACGTGATTTACAGCCAGAAGGGGTGCGCCGACACTTATTGCATGGAGGTTCAATCTCGCGCGGTCTCGCGAGGATTCTTTGAGCGAATGGTTTGCTGTGTAAAGCAATGTTTCAGAAAGACAATAGTGAATGCAAGACTGAGTTTGATGAGCTACTGGCCGTAATGGTGGAAATAGAAGGAACTCTGAACTCAATACCATTGACCTATGTATATTAAGAGGTCGGACCACACTTTGCAAAAGGCACAAATATCTTACAATTACTGAAGTTGCGACACTTTTGGAGTCGTTGGAGAAAGGAATACTTGAAAGAACTGAGGGAGCACCAAGATTGTAGGCAAGGTAGCAATTAAGGTAAGATGGTAGAGGTAGGGGATATTGTTGTTGTTTTAGACGATGAAAGGACGACAAACCAGTGGAAGATGGGAGTGGTAGAGATTGGTAGAAGGGAGGGACGGCATTGTTAGGGGGGCTATTATCAGGCTAGCAGGTAAGAGTAAACACGTCAATCTATATCGACCCAATGGCGGCCAAAGATTACTTATCCTTATTTATGAATATTTTACATTGTTGATTTATGATTGTCATCAGCTAAAGTTGATAATAGATTTTAGTTTACTTAAGCACGCGGTTAGATAATTGTAAATTGAGAAAAAGGCATGAATGTAATGTAGCAAAAAGAGAATGAGCACGCGTGCATTTGCACAGAAAAATATASTTTCTATAGGATCTCAGTAATCTAGGTTTTTTGGAATGTGACATAGCTTTCTATTTATTTTTGAGCACGTAAGTTGATACAATAGATCTATTACTGAGCTCATTGGAGCCTGGGACCTGTGGCATCATTGTAGTAATGGGTTTTTAAATGCCTCTAGTGAATTGAATATTTTAATCTGCAGAAAAAAAGTTTCTTTAGGAAACCTTTTTTGCCATTCTTACAATATC